AAATAACCCTAACACCACACTGGCCTAGCCATGAGGATGCTAGGCTAGTTCAGGCTAGAATGCACCTAGCATGGCTAGGCGCAAGCCTAAGCACACTAGGTGTGCTAGGCGCACCATCACAGCCTAGGTGCACCATCGCAGCCTACGCGCGCCATGGCTGCCTATCGTAGCCCTAGCATCATGCTTAGGCGCTATCGCATGGCAGCACCAAGCAGCGCACCATGCATGGGCGAGGGCCTGGGTGCCAGCATATTACAAGGCCACGCACAGTAGCCCAGCATCACCACGCACCAAGGTTGCTGTGTGATGCGTGGGTGTACGTGTGGTGCGAGGCTGATGCGTGATGTGCATGGTTAGTGCGCATGGTGCGTAGCTAGCGCATGTGCGAGGGATGCTGCGAGGATAGTGCGTGTGGCTGGCGAGGCAAAGGGGCCAGCGTGCGTGGCTCGCTAGCAGCACGCATGCTGGCTATGCGAGAATGTGCGAGAGGTGCAGCGAGGATGCGTGTGGTGTGTGGGATGCGAGGGTCAGCACCAGCTCTAGCACGCACCAGCACCAAGCATCGACCAGCGGTGCCTGGCTGGGATGTGAGGCTGCTGGCTGGGCTAGCTGGCACTGCTAGCTGGCGTGCTAGCTGGCAGCAGCCCAACAGCCTTTTGGTTGAGGCGGTTTTGTAAGGGGTGGGGACCAAGGCTTGGGCAAAGCCTTGAGGAGCAAGGTAATGGTCCCCCCCACCCCACCTCTCCATGGTCCTCACCTAACCTTCTCTCTCCCTTTGACACTTGTTGCATTGTGATTAAATTTAATTATTGATTTATTTTAGAAATAAATTAATTAGAAAATTATTCATTCTCCCACATTGGTTGGGGAATGAAGTTCAAGGGTTCATTTCCCTATAAATACCAAGTTTGGGTATTTGGGAATGAACAACCTTGAGTGGAATTAAAAAGGCAACTTTAATTAAGAGTAAACCTTTGATTCGTAAAACTCATAGTTATTTTGTCCGGGTCTTGACTAACCTTAAAGACTTAGGACACTCGGGTCGAGGGTACGATCTGTCGGAGATCTCGTGTTTTTGGGATTTTGAAGTAAGAGCTCTTTGGGAGCGAAGCACGAGACAAAGGTATAATTCTTGTTCTTAATCTTGTTTGATTAAGTTTAATATTCTTGTTAATTGTTTTAATTAAGGGGCAGGTCTTGGTGGGTTTCCTTTCGCGTAGTGTCGGGTCACTACGAAACCCTACATGAGCCACATCCGATATCTAATACTCATGATGTTTTGCTTGCGAAGTTTAAGTCTATAACGAAAATACCTGATACAGATGCAACGATGTCGTTCTTCTTATCTTCCTTGAATTTGAGTCTATCCTGCTTCCAATGTCCTTTCTTCTTGCAGTAGAAACATTTGGAATTGAATTTATAAGAGGCTACCTTCTTGTCCTTGCCGCTCTTAGCAGCACTTGACTTAGGCGGAAAATTCTTCTTCTTTTCCCTTTAAAGCTTCTCTTCTTGCCCGAGTGCTGAAACGGGTTGCCCTTTCTCACCATGAGCAGGTCATGCTTCTCCTCATCCTTGAGGGTTTGCTCGGCTTGCTTCTGCTTACCATGAAGCTCGATGAGGGTTTTCTCCATGATGTGCATATTATTGTTCATCTTGAATTGATCATAACCTTTTTGCAGTGAATGGAGAATGATGTCAATTTCCATCTCGGTTCAATACCCAGCATCAAGCCTTTCCATGTTCTCAAACAATCCAATCATTTTAAGAATATGTGGGCTAACTAGCTCTCCTTTCTTGAGCTTGCTCTCAAGGATCAGCCTGTGGCTTTCGAACCTTTCAATTCGGGCATGCTCTTGAAACATATTCTGAAGTTCAGAAATGATCTCAAAAACCGTCTCCTTTTTAAAGAAAATCTTTTAAAGGTCTGGAGACATAATGGCCAGCATGATGCATTTGACATCTCGATTGGGACTTTGACATCGGTTAAGGGCAGCCTGAGTGACCTCCTCATTGGGAGTGTTGGGCATTTCCTCATCAAGGACATATTCCTTTCGCTCTTGCATGAGAACAATACGCAAGTTCCAAGGCCGCCAGGTGGCTCTTGGCACCAAGGGTGGGCAGCCCAGCCAGCCATCATGCATTATACGCGTAGCTAGCTAGCTCACAACACATGCGCAGCCAGCCAGCACGCATGTAATGATGTTGTGGCTGTTGCTAGGTGTTGTTATGTGCGATGCTGCTGCTATGCGATGCCTAGCACGCATAGCCATACCACAAGCACGCATAGCGTGATGCTATGTGCGTGTGCTAGGCGATGCTAGGCACGCATGACACGCATGGGTTGGTGACCTCGCCTAGCCTAGCACTCACATGGCTAGGCCAATGGGAGGCTACGGCTTGGCTCGAACTTGTCGCTTGTTGAATCTACGTCTCGTCGAATTCCATACTCGACTCGACTTGCGACACTCGGTCTCGACGCTCTAAGCTTAATATCCGACGTCTTTGTTCGTAATACTGTAACGATTCATCTAATCCTTCGGATTGATTCGTCGATTCGGATCGGTTATTCGATTGGGGTGCGACCCGAAGGGTTCAATCAAGATTAAGCCGTAATATTAATTATGCATTAATATTACTGATCGGAAGTGGCCACCACCTAGGCATTCCGATCACTTGACCTTACTGAAGAATTAACTTTCTAATAATTCCGAACCCTCTATCGGAATAATACACTTGTTGGATGTTCATCGAAAATATTGATTCAATCATTACATTTGCTAATGAGTTGAAGGAAAATAATGGTAGTGGTGTTGTTGGTTGCAATATATCTCTTGGAAATAAAAAAGATCGATCCAGTTTTTTAAAAAAATACGGATCGGGTTTTTTAATAAAATAAAAAAAACACCTTAACTTTAGTAGTAATAAAAAATTTAATTCCACGTCCTTATCAATAGTTGCTTATGGAGATAGAAGTAGATGTTTGTCTTCTTTAATAAAATAATGGAGGAAGATCCTTCCTTGAGAAGACAGTTTTCTCCTATTTTCCATATTTCACTATAACTCCCTATTTTCTTTCTTCTGTAATACGGTGTTCGTTTTACAGAAGAAATAAAATAGGGAGTTATGATGAAATATGAAAAATAGTAGAAAATTGCCTTCTCAAGGAAAGATAATCCGACATTGCCTTCTCACGGAAAACAAACATCTTCCCCTGTCTCTTTGAGTAGTGATTGTCAGAGACGTGGGATTAAAATTTTATTACTATTAAAAAATATAGTACTCCTATTATTTTTAGTTTTTTAAAAAAATACACAGAGTAAATGCGAAATATTACTAGTTACTACTCCGTATTCATTGAATGTAGCAACTCCGTATGCAATACACGAAAAGAGCAAATTGGCAACAGTTCAAACCCCCCCAAAGGCAACGGTTTTGAACCGTTGAGTATTTGAGGGTTGCCAAATCCCAAAATAATTGGCAACGGTTTTGAACCGTTACCAACTCAAGCAATTGGCAACGGTTAACCGTTTACCATGGCGCCCCTTTTTTTTTAAAAAAAATAATTGGCAACGGTTAACCGTTGCCAATTGCTTGAGTTGGCAACGAACCGTTGCCAAATACAATGGCGCCCTTTTTTTTTTTTTTTTTTTTTAAACATTGGCAACGGTTAACCGTTGCCATTGACCTGTATTTTTTTTTTTTTGGCTACAATAATTGACCTGTATTTTTTTTTTTGCCTGCAATATTATTAATATTATAATATTAATATTAATAATAATAATTAATATTATTATAATATTAATAATAATAATTATTATTATTATTATAATATTAATATAAATAATAATAATTATTAATATTATAATAGTAATAATAATAATTATTATTATGATAATAGTAACAATAATTAGTATTATTAATTAATAACAAAACATAAATAATAATAACAATCGCAAGAGATGATATAAATTAGAAAAATGTTTCATGTTAACTACAAACAATTTTAATTAGTTATAATAATGTATAGTACATAATTAGTAAGCTAAGGCTATCTAGGATTGATGAAGTAGCTAGCTAGTAAACGATATTTACAAATTAAATGTGATGTAGGTCGCCAACATCTCTCGAATTACATGGAGTTCCTCGCTCGTGTATGGCTGTCCCGTTTGCCCCTTGCAAAACTTAAAATACACAAAACGTGAGTTAGTAGAAGTGAATTAATAATAATTGGGGTTAGTTAGTAGGAATGACCCGAACAAAACTTGGAATATTACACAAAAGTAAGTGAACTCATACTTAGCTTACTCATAATAATAACATGTCATTATCACTTAGTTATAGGTGACTAATTGCTTGAGATTACAAGAAAAGAGCAAGTAAGAGGTTTTGGGACGCAATTTCAACAAAAATGGCTCAAGTAAGGCCATTTTGGCTAGTAGGATGCCTATTTTCTATATTTCTTTTCTATTGAACTCATAACTAGATAAAACATGTCATAATCACTTATTTATAGGTGCCTAATTCTTGAGATTACAAGAAAAGAGCAAGTAAGAGGTTTTGGGACGCAATTTCAACCAAAATGGCTCAAGTAAGGCCATTTTGGCTACTAGGATGCCTATTTTCTATATTTCTTATCTATTGAACTCATAACTAGTTAAAACATGTCATAATCACTTAGTTATAGGTTATTAATGCTTGATATTACAAGAAAAGAGCAAGTAAGAGGTTTTGGGACGCAATTTCAACCAAAATGGCTCAAGTAAGGCCATTTTGGCTAGTAGGATGCCTATTTTCTTTATTTCTTGTCTATTGAACTCATAACTAGTTAAAACACGTCATAATCACTTAGTTATAGGTGCCTAATGCTTGAAATTACAAGAAAAGAGCAAGTAAGAGGTTTTGGGACGCAATTTCAACCAAAATGGCATACCTCTTCAAGCTGACGTGTGTCTGTACAATGACTCATCATTATGTCATACATGAATCTCATCACGTATAGGCCACAGTCAACTCCGTTTTCCTGTTGTGCGCACTAGAATGAGGAACAAAGCACATGAATCAAAATGCATAGCAAATAAGCAACATCTTAAGCATTGTAAAGTAAGAAGATCACAACATCATGGGTGAATTACCTTGGGTGCTTTCCATGCAGGACCTCGAGGAGATCGAGGATTTATCTTCTTCATGGTACTACAAAAAATCAAATTAATAAGTTCAAATTTTACTAGTATAATCAATACATATGAGTTAAGATATGAAAATGAATAACAAGAAGTGAAACAAACTAGATACTTACTTTTGCAGTATGGACCTCACGAGGCCCTTTCTTACTTGAGGTAACCGAGTAGAATCAAAGTAGAAGATTGTGTTACTGGAAACACAAATCACAAGTAGGGTCCAATGATAACTACATACGAGACAAACAAATCAATAGTTAGCCTATTACAACAAATAAACTGGGAAAACAAATGAACTTGACTAGCATAATCAGACGTACTCCTCATAATATGGGATGAATATAAACTTGTCTCCCGCACTCACTGATTGCCTGATACCCTGTTCAGCATAGTATAACACGTCAGCGGAGTTTCCTAAGAATCTAGCAGTGGACATCTGCTCAGGGCACAACCACCCAACTTGACAAGGATATTCAAGCTCCCATATTTGCTCTTGGAGTTCTTTGCATGCATGATAACAAAATGTTAATCGAAAACCAAACGACAAACACCACTAAACTGAATAACATAAATTGAGTATCAGTTGGATTACCTCATGGATATTTGAATGAGGGAAATGTTAAGCATTGCACCACTTAGAAATTCCTTCACATCTTCTTTGAATAGCCATGTTGTTGCATCATCATCGTAGTGAAACATTTCCTTAGGAAGTTGGATTTGGATGGGGCTGTCATTAGGCAACACGCAAACACGGTTGTGCAAATAAGCTAACTCATGAGATAGCGATTGAAGTAGCGTCTCTTCAACTAATGGAGTAGCTTGCGTAGCTGAACCTCGTGAAGGGCTCTTCATCGACGCTTTTCCACTCACCGAGCCATGTTCACTCCTGTTCTTTGGCCCCTCCACCCTCTTCTTTGGAGTTTGGCTTTTCCTCGATGGCTAATAAGACAAATCACACAAATGGTTAGAAAAGATTTCCATCCAACTCTTGGGAAGAAAAGATTAAAGCGTGAAATCTAAATCTTAATTACCTGGTTCATCGACCGTATCCAAGCAGATGGCCATTGCACAAAACTACCTTTTGCTGCCCAGAGTGTTGTGAACTCATCCTCCTCCACGGGCACAGGTATTAAGATGTCCTCGAACCCGGGAACCACATAATGGATCCCGACAGAATAATGCTCAGGCAGAAGAGGTCGAAGATAGACCGTACCTTGTTCGGCTAGCTGTGCACTACCATAGGCAACAACATTCAAAGGTCCATCATATGATTCGCCCGGGTGAAGAAGTTCACATTAGGTCTCTTCCTGCACCAATTAGGAAGATACTTCATTTAAATATTCATAACTAAATATCTTAGGTGTAATATAGGATTTAATTCAAGCATTGAGCTAAAATCATGAAAAATGGGCAAGTAAGAACTCATTTAGGCCATTTTGAACCATAAATACTCTAAATGAACCTAAAACTTGTAAATTTGCTTTTTTATATTGTTTCAAGCCATAAATATTCATAACTAAGTTTCTTAGGTGTAATATAGGAGTTAATTCAAGCATTGAGCTAAAATCATGAAAAATGGGCAAGTTAGAACTCATTTAGGCCATTTTGAACAATAAATACTCTAAATGAACCTAAAACTTGTAAATTTGCTTTTTTTTTTTTTATATTGTTTCAAGCCATAAATATTCATAACTAAGTTTCTTAGGTGTAATATAGGAGTTAATTCAAGCATTGAGCTAAAATCATGAAAAAGGGGCAAGTTAGAACTCATTTAGGCCATTTTGAACCATAAATACTCTAAATGAACCTAAAACTTGTAAATTTGCTTTTTTATATTGTTTCAAGCCATAAATGTTCATAACTAAGTTTCTTAGGTGTGATATAGGAGTTAATCAAGCATTGAGCTAAAATCATGAAAAATGAGCAAGTTAGAAGTCATTTTGCCCATTTTGAACCATTAACACTTTAAATGAACCTAAAACTTGTGAAATTACTTTTTTTATGTCATTTAAAGCCATAAATATTCATAACTAAGTATCTTAGGTGAAAAAAAAAACAAAAAAAAAAAACCAAAACGAGGGCAAAAAAAAAAAAAAAAAAAAAAACGGGCGGGAAGGGTAGCGTGTGCACCGCTGCTGCAGGCTGCACAGTTGCTACAGTGCAGCTGCAACCTCCTCGCGTGATTCCCAATGAGAAAGAGAAGGAGAAGGAGAAGGAGAAGGAGAAGGAGAAGGAGAAGGAGAAAGAGAAGGAGAAGGAGAAGAGGAGAAGGAGAAGGAGGAGAAGGAGAAGGAGGAGGAGAATGAGGAGAAGGAGAAGAAGAAGAAAGAAAAGGAGGAGGGGAAGGAGAAGGAGAAAGAGAAGGAGGAGGAGAAGGAAGAGCAAACAACAACAACACATCACATCAACAAAGCAACACCAACAACACAACACAGCGAAGAAACACCATTTCACAGCCAACTTAACCATTTCACAAGACAATCCAAAAACCAATATCATTATCCTATCATTATCCAAACAAGTAAGTAAAAAATCACCAGTAGAATAGGAAACTCATGAGGTGTCGGAGTATCAAGGCCCTTTGAGTTCGTATGTGAAGGAGTACCAATCTGCAATAGTGTATTGATAATGAAACATTAATTAGAATCGTACCCACGTAACTCAACATATCAAAACTTATAGAGTTGAATTCTAATCACGTACCTCCTCGCGTGCATTTATCTCCTGTTCTCCTTCTCTTCGTGGGTGGCTACTTGAGTCGACCGGTGTTGTCGAGGAAAAGGGCATGGTCGGCAAATTCATTTGCTTCGCCCATGCATTGAACTCTTCGCGCATCTCATTGCGCACTTGTTCTTTAATTGATGCCACTGTGGCATCGAAGTTCTGTGGCGAGTTCACACTTGCTCGGGATCTTCCAGATTTGGTATATTCGGGACCCATTACCTTCTCCCATCCTAGCAAGCTCCCCCCAGCACCTAATACCCGTCCCGGATGGTAGGGATTTCCCATAGCCAAGGTGAAAGGGTCCTTCTCTACCGTCGGGACGATCTTGCCTTCAACAAGTTCTCCAGTGTACTCAAGCTGTAGCAAAAAAAAAATGGCAACATGAAGTAAGTGTTTATATAAAGTGATATACATGCAAAAGAATAAAGTAGTTTACTAGTTCATAGTTGCTTACTAGCCTATCTATCATTTCTTTGGTTTCCGGAGCCTTGATGGACCATTTTCCGGTTTTCTTGTCCTGCGAATGCATAGAGCAAAAGAAATCCCCAGCACGACTCACCAAAGTACTGGTCGTGGAGTCAGATGGTGCTGTGGAGGACCCTAGAAGCGCAGTGGGGTATACTCCTTCACTCACCCACGTATCTATCCCATTCATCATACGTCATTGCTCCCATATGATGGTGGTATTGCTTTTGCAATGCATTCCTGGAATTCTGCTCCCTCATTTCCTACATAAAAAGATATGTTAGTTTCATTACTAATAAAAAAGACGATAAATTACAACACAATTTTCATCAGAGTTCTTTAAACTTATAATTTCTTCTTTTTTACATTTTTGAAGAACCCTTTCCAACTTATGCTAGGCCATATTTGCCAAGGGAGTTTCTCTTCATCGATGACATCATCATCACTGCCACCTCCTTTCTTCTTCTTTGGTTTCCTCACAAGTTTCTTTGTGATAAACTGACGAACTAAGTTACACTTGAAACTTCTGAATCATGCCACAAGTAAGGATTCAAACACTCTTCGCTTGGCGTACTCATTTGGAATGTTAAATAGACTCTGAAAGCACAGATAACAAACATTATTAGTTTTCCAATAACATATAAATTGAAATTGTTTATAAATAATCACATCAAAAAAAACTTACCCTAGTATCATTCCAAAACGCGTCAATCAAGCCTGTAGGTACATCGCTCATACGAAGTGTAATGGGGATTTTGCGAGCACAAATCCCAACTTGACCAGCATACTGACGACGCCATTTACCTGAGGGTTGCCCTACCCTGTCACACTCCAAGACCATAGGACCGACATGTTTCTTGAAAGCTGTTGTCGGACCCCTCAACTTTTTCTTCGCTGGTGCGTGCACCCCCCCTCCACTTTGATCCTCACGAAACGGCTCCATAATGGCATTATCGATTGGAGGCGCTTGCTCAGCTGCAATTTCAAACGCATCTATCATTCTCTCCAATACATCTTGCGCCTGATCTTCTGGCTCACCCAAATCAGGTTCCTTTTTCACATCATACAGCTGGTCCCTATCATTAGATGAATCATCATCATTAGATTCAACATCCTTAACTCGAACACGGTATTGATCGTCCGCCATTAGATGTTAAAACCTGTCATTACAAACATAACACGTTATTAGCTGCTGAATTGTAAGGTAAACTTATAATCATATATAAATTGTTGAATTATAATACAAATAAACATAGAAAATGGTGAAGCAAGTTACTTTATACATTTAAAAGAATATAAGAAAAATGGGTAAGAAATTCAACAATTTCATTCAGTTTCACCTAAAATGTGATTTTTTTAATTCTTTCTACGCCTGCAATTCAAACTAACAGAAAATATACAGTACCTCAATCTAATATTCCTTCATCGTGGTCTGATCTCATGTAATTGGCTTGGTCGTCTATCTCATTTGGCACAGCAGGTCTAGGAACAGTGAAAGGTGCCGAGTCATCAAAGGCATCATATTCTTCCTCATCCTCGACATCTCCAACGCCAAGGATTCTTCTTTTGCCGGCTAGCACAATAGACCATTTTGAGTCGGCAGGGTCAGATACGTAAAACACCTGCTTAGCTTGAGATGCAAGGATGAATGGTTCCGCACTATCATTCAGGTTGCCAAGATCTACAAGAGTAAAGTCATCAAATTTGACGTTACACCTGATATTATCAACCCACTTACACCGGAAAAGAGCAATCGTGAAGTCACAATAATCAAGCTCCCATATTTCTTGAATTCGACCGTAGTATGACAACTCTACATCAACGGGTGATTTATCCTTAGCACTTGCAAACTCCCTTGACGATGCCACAACCGTTACACCACTGTTTTGGGTCGAGGACGATTTTAAATCTTGACGCTCAGTCCAAAATGTGTACCCATTTATGTCATATCCCTCAAATGAGCGAACATCATCCCTAGGACCATAAGCAAGCCACCTTACTGTAGCTGTGACACTCTCATCCATTCCACCCATCACTCGATCACGAAACCAACTCACAAACTTCTTACTGTGCAATTGCATCAGTGCCTTTTCACCTTTCGACGGAAACTCATCACGCAAACTAGCCATGTGCTCGTCTAAATATGGGTGAACATCAGCAACATGGTGCAACACATAAAGGTGTGCTTGTAAGAACTGCTCTCGATCAGGTGACATTCGTTTTGACCCGATTGTGTCATGACCATCAAGTCTACCTTCATGTCGAGAAGTAGGAATACCAATAGATTCAGCAATGGCTATATAGTCGGCCACAAAATTACCAATCTCCTCGGCCACGGTCCCTTGAATCATACTTCCTTCCGGGTGAGCCCGATTCCTAACTTTATCTTGCAATGTACCCATGTGTCTTTCAAAAGGATAGAACCACCTCATGAACACTGGACCGCACAACTTAATCTCACGCACTAAATGAAGAATCAAATGCACCATTATGTCGAAAAACGAGGGCGGGAAGTACATCTCAAATTTGCACAAAGTCACAACCACATCCGCCTGTAAAGCATCAAGTGTACATGGATCAAGCACTTTGCTACATATTGTATTGAAAAATGAACAGAGGCTTGTAATAGCTTCCCTCACGTGCTTTGGCAAAATACCACGTATTGCAATTGGTAGAAAAACTTGCATCAGAACATGACAATCATGGGATTTCATACTTGTCAGCTTCAATTCTCCATTTAAGGATACAAATCTTTTCATGTTAGATGCGTACCCTGATGGAACCTTAATGGCATACAGACATTCACAAAACATCCGTTTTTCTACCCTTGACAATGTGTAGCAAGCCGGAGGTAAATAGGCCTTCCCCTTTTTGGCTTTTCCCTCATTTTTCTTCTTCGACGCATCCGCGGCCTTTCCCTTTCCCTTGCTCTTCACCTTTCCCTTTTTCGAACCCATTTCTTTTTTCTTTTCCTGTTCCTTTCCCTTACTAACCCTTTGTTGAACCCACAATTCTGGACGCACCCCCATCTTTTCCAAATCTAAACGTGCACCCTTTCCGTCCTTTGTCTTGTTTTGAATATTCATCAGCGTTCCCACAAGAGCGTCACACACATTCTTCTCTATATGAATTACATCAATAAAGTTCCTAACGTCATGTTCTTTCTAGTATGGGAGCAACCAAAAGATTGATTCTTTTTTAAAGAGAGCAACTTATTCCGCCGCTTTTTCAGATTTCCCAAATACTGTTCGTACACCCTTAACCCGAGCGTAAACCTCCTCACCAGTAAGTGGCCTAGGAGCAGTCCCCTCTTCCACCGTGCCATCGAAAGCCTTTTTCTGCCGACGGTACGGGTGATCGCGCCTGAGCAATCTTCTTATCCTCAAATACACCTCTTTGAAAGAATGATCAAGGCGTCTGCTTGGCGTATCATCAATACAAATGGGACACGCCTTTTTCCCTTTATTCTTATAGCCAGACAAGTTGCCATATGCAGGAAAATCATTAACGGTCCACATAAGAGCTGCACGCAATGTGAACATCTCATTCTTATGAGCATCAAACGCGGAAACCCCTTCGTCCCACATCTTTCTCAAATCATCAACCAATTGCGCAAGATACACATCTATGTCGTTTCCAGGTTGCCTTGGCCCCGATATCAAGAGTGAAAGCATTACATATTTCCGTTTCATGCACAACCAAGGAGGCAAATTGTAGATCACTAAAAGTACCGGCCATGTGCTGTGCTGGGTACTAAGAGTGCCAAATGGATTCATCCCGTCCGTGCACAAACCAAGCCTTAAATTTCTGACTTCATCACCAAATTCCCCAAACTTCATATCAAGATTCTTCCATTGCGGGGAGTCGGCTGGGTGCTTCAGCATTCTGTTTTTCTTTCTTCCCTCTACATGCCACCTCAAGTTTTTAGCGTCTTTTGGTAAAGAGAACAGACGCTTAAACCTTGGAATTATGGAAAGATACCACAACACCTTAGCAAGAGGTCCCTTCGTACCAGCATTGCAACTCTTGCGCTTGTAGCGCGACTTCTTGCATCTTGAACACTCCTCCAATTGTTCATATTCATTTCGGTAAAGAATACAATCATTAGGACATGCATGTATCTTCTTATACTCCAAACCAAATGGGCACATGAGCTTCTTAGCGTAATAGTGAGACTTAGGAATTTCATTCCCATCGGGCAACATCTCACTTAACACGCTCAACAAGGAAGTAAAACTACTGTCCGTCCACCCATGCTTCGACTTAATGTTAAAAAGAGTTAGCACGGCTGATAGTTTGGAGTATTTTTTGCACCCAGGATACAAAGGCTTTTTAGAAGCCTCCGATAATGACTCAAACACGTCACCTTCAAAACCACGCATCATCTCATCCACACCTTCATCCTGAACCTCATCCACATGATCATCCTCAAATCCCTCCTCAGCACCATCATCAACAATATGTTCATCATTCTTGTATTCCTCGTCCACACGGATATCATTGCTTTTATCATCATGCACATCATACCCAATAACATCCCCACTGTACTCTCCTTCTTCACCATGCCAAATCCACACATGATATTTAACCCTAAACCCACGACAAACTACATGATCTCTAATGATATCAACACTATTGTCCACCTTCACATTATTACAATCAACACAAGGACAATAGAGGCACTCGAAACCCATTCTGCGCTGATAAGATGAAGCCGTCTCGCAAAACTCTTGAACCCCATTAAAGAATTCCAATGTATCACGTCTACCATACATCCATCCACGATCCTTCTCCATTAAGTAAATTGTCTCTAAACATGGCTACATATTACGAAAAATAATGTATAATTGCTACATCTACTATATATATAAATCAAATTCAAACACACACCATGCATATAACTTTCATATACATACACAAATGAATATATGCTTCCAAAGGGTCCTTATCACTCCAACCTAAACCATCCTTGAACGTTTACTCTCACTAGTGAATGTATGTCAACTTTCCAATTTTAAGGAAAATTCGGCAGCATTTCCCCCCAGTTCTCCAAGTACACGACGTAGGTAATTACTTACCCACATATGTACCTAGAGAACATGGTGATCGAGGAAATGGTAAGCGAAGATGTTCCTTAATTAAAATCGAAAAAAGGACATACATTCACCACCTAAGTGTGAGTAAACGTTCAAGAACAGTCCCAACCGGGGACTATTCAAGAATTTCTCCTAATGAGAGAGCCTTGAACGGGTATCTAGGCATATGATGATGCAAACATTTCATATATTTATTGTTGTATTTAGTTTGTCGTTATATAATACACAAATCTAATAGCTAGCATGAAAAAACGTTTATTAAAACAATAATAGAGAGAAAGAAATATTTATAGCTTAGGGAAGTTTATAATTCATACATTTTAATTAGACAAATTAAATTTAGACTTAACTATAACATATTTTAATTCACAACTATAAATCTACCACAACTATAAATCTACCATACCATTAAATTAATAATGCTTAATATAAGAGTACTTTGTATAATTGTATGTCATGAATAATGGGTTTCGAAATTATACCTGAAATGGCGCCTTAAACCAACCGTGAGAGCAAGCAAGAAGGTTGTTGTATGTGGAGGAGGGGCGATGCGCGTCTATATTGACAAACCCTAGATTACAGGAACTTATAATTACTACATTGTAAAGCAAATCCACCAAAATGTCGAAGGAATTCATCAATGGAGGGATATAAATAAAACCTAATTGCTACTTACCTTAGGTTGAAGACAATGGAGGTTGTTAGCTTCAATGGAGGTGAGAAAGCTCGCAACACTTAGCTTCAATGGAGGAACGACGAAGAGGGGAGATGAGTTGAATGAAGCAGCGTGCTAAGGAGAAGAGAGGAGGGGAAATTGTCTTCAATGGAGGTGAAAAACCTCGCACCAGGCCACTTCAATGGAGGAACAAAGAGGGGAGCAAGTTGGATGAAGAAGGAGGA